GCCCTGTGCTCCCCACTGCCCCAGATCCACTCATCTTCCTGGCCCTTAGTCCCCTCCTAGCCTCTGTCAGCCATAACTGTCTCTGTACCCCAGTCGCATGCCATAAAAGTTAAGGAAAAGTACAATTATGCTTGAATATCAGATAAGACATCACTCCAGCGGAAAACAAGTGTATTTGGAGCATCCTCTCCGCCCTGGGACACAGGGACACAAGCTCATCTTGAGTTAGCATCTGATCTAGAAGGCTCTTCAGGAGGATGGAGTTTCCAGCGTCCTCTAGCCTGCAGCCCCAGGCCAGCGGCCTCTGGTCCTGACATGTGAGGACAACACAGGCATCCTGGGCTGAGAGTGGGGCTCCCCCTTCAAGAGCCTTGTGAGGGTCCAGTCCTTTAGCCTTTTCCTTCAATTCCTCATCTGCATCATCCCCAGCGCTCACACTCCCCAGGCCACCTCATCAAACCCAAGCCTTCTTCAGCTACTGACTCTGTATCTGTGAGCTCTTAAATATTTAAATCCTACCTCAACTCATCCCAGAAATATGCATTCACATCCAACCGCCCACTTGACTCCGCAAACATTATTTTGATCAAGCTGATCTCCTCTTCTCCCTCATGGCCCAAACTGACTCCTCTCCTAATCTACCCTGTTTCAACAGCAGGCAAGGCAACTCTTCCAGTTACTCAGGCAGCAACTGTGGATTAGCTGGCTCCCTCTCTCCTTCTCACCCAGCCCCAGCTGATAGTACATGAACCAGAAGGACTTCCCAGCTGGGCCAAATCATCCCACAGACCCATTAATAATAACACAGTGTTCATTACCTGGATCAACTGAGTTTGGGGGCTGTTTGTTACACAGCTATAGATAAGGGGGATGCTGTACCTCCATGAACAAATGCTTTAGCTCTGTCTTTGATATAAGCTACCATCTGGGACTTCAGACATGTCCACTGCTCGGTCTTATGCTTCAGAGTCATCCTACCACAGTAACAGTTTCCTCACCCTTCTGGGTAACACCTACACTATTTCTGAATCTGTTTTTTAATGAAATCTAAAAATTGGCTCACTTTTATAACATAGCCTGCTTTAAGCAATAGTAATGGTGATGGGTGTGCGTGTTCACTGAGTACTTCCCATAGCAACTTGACTAATCTACCATGAGAGGGATACTGTTATGGTCACCATGTTATAGATAGTAACAGTGGGGCACAGAGAGGTTACCCATGGGCCTCACAGCTGGAAAAGTGGAGAAGTGAGACTTGACTCCCAACTGTCCAAATCCAGAATCCAAGCTTTTAACCATTCAACATCGTGACTCCCTGAGCACCACAGTGTGGGTAACTACAGGTATCTCCTGACCACCTGCTCCATCTTACACACTCTCCAACTCGTTGGCAATTGAGCGATGCCTCACTGTAGCTCTCAAGAGCAGGTGCATTATTATTTCCATGTTATAAATAGGAAAACTGAGATGCAGCAACATGAGTCACAAAGCTGGAAAGCTCATAGCAGAGCAAGGATTCTAACACAGGTCTGTGGGCCCCAGAGCCCACGGTCTTCACCAACCACTGGAGCCGGGAAATCGTGGGGAGAGGAGGATCACAACATTGGAAGCCTTCTCTCAGCTCAGGCCCCAGTCCACTCACCTGGGTGGATTTTCCCAATGCTGGCTGGGGCTTACGTCCATCTCGGCCCCCTGTCCTCGCTCCCCAGTGGCTGCTTCTGCATGCATATCCCTAGCTACCCTGGGCTGTGCCCACGCAGGACTACATCCAGCCTCTGTGTCTTCTGCCCTTCTGACCTGCCTCATCCCTCCATTGCTTCAGTTCAGGGCTCTCTTCCTGAGAGCTACTCTCTTCACAGAGATGCCAGCATAGCCAACAACCTACATTCCACCCGGAAGTACACCAGAAGGTACATTCAGTGAACTTCCTGCTACCATAACCTTGCTCTGACTACCCAAACTCCTCAAGGCCGTGCTTGTCTCATCTCTCTCCTACATTTTTCAGGTGCTTCTTGCAGACATGGGCTTTCCCAGACATGAAGCGGCTACACAAATGCAGAAGGGGTGATGCCCCTAAAATCTGAGGAAAGGCATTGGAGGTGCACTTTGGGATCCTCATACATTGTAACTGGGGGATGGGACATGATCTGGAATGTTTCCACAGAAGCATCTGCCCTCTGAAATCACACAAAGGCCTCACTGTCCCAGCAGAAGGACAGGGTGTCCTCATCCCAGTGATTCAGAAAGAGCACCTGGGCCAGGGCTCCCAAAACAACTGAGTTGGAAGCAAGAGTTTGCAAGAGAATGCTGTCCTGTGGGCTGTGGGAGAAAATGAGTATTCAAACTCTACACAGCAGGGTTTTCCCCAAATTTCTGGACCAGGATCCATATTAAGAGACACAGTTTTCATCAGAACATGACTCAAACACATGTGTGTGTATGTACATACTCACTGAAAATATGACAGGCCACTCTGAACCGTGTGATTTCTGGGACTAGAAGCCACATGTGACAGAGGAGCAAAGAAGTACAAATCAGGCTGCCTACTGCTCCACAGAGCACCACTTTTGCATGTGAGAAGAGGCGTGCTTGTATGCATGAGTGTGTGTGTGTGTGTGTGTGTGTGTGTGTGTGTGTAAACATCTGTGATTTGGAGCACTAGCCCTCTCAGTGGCAACCTGAATCGGTAATCCTACTGATGATCTGTTAATTTATGATAAATCATGACAGATACCATTTGGGAAGAAGTCACATCATGATACAGGGGGACTCTGTACCTCTGGAGACCCAAAGAGTGCTGATTTTTCTCTTTCCAGCATGGGAGTTGGGAGGAGAAGTGAGGATAACATCCCAACTTGTCCTGTCTCGGGAGGTTATTTACTTCGTTCTTCTCTATTACTTTGCAAATGTCATGGTCTTAAGTAAAGTAAAAACAAGAAAAGAAGATCGAGTGTGAGCTGGGAAGCCAAGTGTGAAAGGAATCAGACAGACTTAGGTGGGAAATGTCACACATCCTCCTAGATGGCAGGCTCCGGTGTGTCACAGTCCTTGGGAAATAGCTGCTGCTCTGGGCTTCCAGGTGCTGCCTGAATGATAATTCTTCTGAGATGCCCTTTCTCATACTGATCCTACTTCCATCACTGGAGAAATTCTGACACATTGTAAACATCTGCAAAAATGGTGCCCTGAACTCTTTACGTTCTCTTGTCTGGTACCCATTCTCCAGCCTTCCAAAATTAGCCTGTGTGAGTATTCATTCTTCTCAATGACCTCTCTCTCCCCTGGCCTCAGGAATGGGAAACAAGCCAAACCCAAACCAACCAGTGAGTACCATTAACCTGATATGTGATTTGTCCAAGACTGGCCACATGACCTAAATTGGTTCAGTCAGAATGAATCTTGGAACTAGGAAGTTGTTCTCAAATGGTCAGGTAAACCTCCAGTAAGCCAATCCTCTCACGTACAACTATAAGCTCTGGAGGAAATTAAAACAACTATCTGAAGGTACAGAAGAATTAATAAAAGTAGGCACACATGGGAGGGGAGTTCATGCTCACACATCTTTTAGTCTGAGGGCAGGATCCAAGCTGCAAAATGAGGGACAGATAAAATGAAGCAAAAGTCAGTAGTTTTACTGACTTGAAGAACAAAAGACATGATTCTGGGCAAGCACTGCCCTGAAGTGGAAAAGGGAAATTCCAAAAGCAGAGCCTCCACAAAGGAAAGATCCTCCAAATTTTATGTACCAACTTCTCAAGTCTCTTATTTGCCCCTAAATCACATATGTGTGGGTCAGACTGTAAGTTAGCTCAGGTTGCAACCTCATTGAACTGAAATTGGAGCTGTTTCCCTCTGCTGGAGATCTGGACCATGTCAAATTACGGCCTGCACATTCCTGCTGGCTTGAGCCATGGGTGGTGCATGCATGACCACCAGTGATTAGCTATTCAACATCAGAGCTGCTTTGTGGTGACACATGTGAATTACAGCTCCTTCATGAACATGTTAAAACAAAATCTGTGCTCTTCAAAGGAATATAACAGAATCCCGGAGTTCCTACAGTGTCAGTCACAATATTCAGAAATGATCCAAAATTGTGGGAAAGTATGACAACATCTCAAGAGAGGTCTCTGCTTCATCTGCAGAATATTTATTCCACAAGCTCTCATTAACTGTCTCCATTAACTGTCAGGCACTGTGTTAAGCACTCGGGCTGCAATGATGACAAAATAAATGTAACTGCTGCTCTGATAGAGTTGACATTCTAGTTCTGATCAGTATATCAATAAATTCATTCACTTATTCATAAACTGAGTTACTGCTAAATGACAAGTATGCTGCTATAAGCTATGAACCAAAAGTATGATACTTTTGTGTGTGTACATATGTCACTCCCTTAGCCACAATCCCTGCATAGGGGCTAGGACTGGTAAGACTGAGTGTTCAGGTGCCTTCTAACCCCTCAACTCCATATGAGGGAGTGGTCCAGCCATAGGGGGATAGTTCCATGGTCAGAAAATAGCACGTGCTGGAGCATAAAATGCAGGTAAAGAGGAGCTGCCCTGAGCTGTGTTAGCTCAAATCACAGGCCAGACAGTGAGGCAAGAGCATAGTTTTTCAATAAAGGGAGGATACTGGTCTGCAGACAAGAGCCATGAAGATCCAGAGATAAAAAGGAAAGAAATTCTGCCTTGCTCCCCTCCTGTCCATGGATATCTATCTGAGCTGGTCAGTGTCTTAGTCCTAGATTTTTTTGAAGTACTCTGTCTAGGAGGAGGATGGTTCATACAACCTAATGTCAGGCCATTTGGAATTTTCACTAGTCCAGCCCTCAGATACCTTTGGAATTTGTGCAGGCAGTAAATACTGTTGAATATATAACCAGCCTTTATGACCTCATCTTCAGGAATCCTCTGTTCCCCCTGTGTCCCATCCATCAGGGACATTCACCCTATCCCATCCCTGCTCTCCTCAGGTAACCCCATTTGTGTTCCTTAATGGTGATTCAGTTGAATCCAAGCAGCCTCAAGAAGAGGTTTTCAAAAAAAAAAAAAAAAAAAAAAAACCACAACGGACTGTAATTTTCCCAAAGTAAGGATCTGTAAAACTAGGGATGCATAAAAAAAAAAAGAAGAGGTTTTCCTGGTGACTTCCAGGAAATTTCCTGCTTGCTCTTCTGAGAAAACTCCCAAATGTGACCTGCCTTTTCCTGCTGAACAAGAGTGACCTCAACACTCAGAAGGAACTCCAGCCTTGGAAAGGAGCCAGCACCGAAGGCTGGGCAGAGCTGAAGGGGGTTGGGTCTTTGGAGACATCACCCCTAGATTGACAGCAGCCAATGTATTGTGTAAGTGTTTAAGCCAATCCCAGTATGAACTTCTGATATTTGCATCTGTCAGCATCCTGACTCAGGTTCTTTACAGTGTGCTTTGGAGAGTTGTGAGCTGCCTTTTATTCTAGCTCACATTTTTCCTTTTCTTTTTTTTTTATTAGTACATGTTTGCAGTACCAGGTGTTCACATCCCTTGTGCAGAGTTGGTCCATGTACCTAACACATCTCAATTCCTTTCTTCATTCCCTTACCTTCCCCTCTCTTCCCCCTGGATCCCCATCCCATTTGAGAAAGCTCTCTCTCTCCCTACTTCCTATTACCTATCTTTTATTTTGCTCTTTATCTATAATTTGGACTTCTCATATAAGAGAAACCATGTGATATTTTTGTGTGTCTGATTTATTTCACTTAACACTGTGGTCTCAAACTGTATTCATTTTCTTACAAATGGCTCAAGCTTATCCTTCTTCTTGGCAGAATAGTAAATACCATACTTTCTTTACCCATCCATCTGTTGATGGACATATAGGCTGCTTCCAAGATTTAGCTATTGAGAATTGTGCTACTATAAACATGGTTATGCATGTATCACTGTAATACGGTGTCTTTAACTTTTGGAGGAAGATTACCTGGAAGGGAAAAGAGGGATCAAATGGAATTTCTAGTTTTAGTTCTTTGGGGAATCTCCATGCTGACTTCCATAGTGGTTGTACTATTTTACACTCCCACAATGTAGAAGGGTTCCTTTTTCCCTGCAGCTTTACCAACATTTGTTATTGTTATGGTTTGTGTCTGGATGACCCCGCTAAGCCTCATGCAGTCATGGGGTGGGCTTCTAGAGTTATGATTGATTCATGGTCCATTGTCAGTGCTACACTTGCCCTGGGGCAGGCAGTTTGCATACAGTGTAAGGGAGGGAAAGAGGCTTGCTCTTCCAGCTGCTGCTCCTCCCTTTTGCTCTTGTTGCTTTGTTGTTTTCTGCTGCCATGAGCTGTTGCCCTCTGCCATGTGCCACCCTGCCTTGGAGCCAGCCAAGTACAGACTGAAACCTCCACAAACTTTAAGCTAAATAAACTTTTCCTTCCTTAATTTTGGATATCAGGTATTTTGTCTTAGCAATGAGAGAAAAGTAATCAAGACAGTTATTATCTGATTTATTGATGATGGCCATTCTTTATGGGGTAAGATGGAATTCCACTGTGGTTTTAATTTGCATTTCTCTAATGACCAGCAATGTTGAGCATTTCTTCGTGCATTTATTGGTCATTATTACTTGTTCTGTGAAATATATATTCATTTCACTTGACTATTTTTGATTGGGTCTTTTATGGGGGGGGTCTAATTTTTTTTGTTCTTTATTTATTCTACATAATAGTCTTTTGAGGAATAATGGGCAAAAATGTTCTCCCGTTCTGTTGGTTTTCTTTTCACTCCATTGGTTGTTTCTTTTGCTGTGCAAAAATCTTTTTAATTTGATATGATCTCATCTTTTGATTTTTTGGTACTACTCCCTGCATAACCCTGATTCTGTTCAGAAAGTCCTTTCCTACACCTATGACTCCAGTTTACCTCTTTTGTCTTCCAGCAGATTGTCTCTGTTTGAACATTTAGTTCTTTGATACAGTTTGATTTTAGTCTAGTACATGTGAGAGACATGGGTCTAGATTCAGTTTTCTGCATGTAGAGAGCCAGTTTCCCCAATGCCATGTATTAAGGAGGCTACCTTTCCTCCAGTGTGTTTTTAGCCCCTTTGTCAAAGATCAAATCACTGAAGGTGCTGGAGCAGTCAAAGTTCAAATCATGTTGGTGAGTGTGCCAAACCCATCACCATCTCTAGTAGATTGATAACTGGTGGTCAATAGAACCCCCTGCTGAACTGAGCGAGTATGGTGCCGGGTGTGGGAGGCCCACCTGAGGACTGTTGCCAGCAGCATAAGAGGCAGACCTGGAGAAGAAGAAGCAGGCTGTTGGGAGCTGGTAGAAGCTGTGGGGAGCTGGCTTTCCTGACGAACTTGGCTGTTTTCATCCTCCTAGGAGCTTCGGACCTCGCTGGCACTGAGAGTGGCTTCGGTTCACTTTAGGGGAACTCTGGTCCTCACTTCGAGCATTGCTACCTGGTTCCAGAGGGGAAGATGGTGCACTGCCGGCCTCCTGGAAAAGCTTGCTGCATTGGCTTCCCTGATGCGAACTTGGCCATCCTGATCATCAGAGGAGCTCGGGACCTCACTGTTGCCAAGGATGGCTGTGGGACCTTTCGGGGGAGCTCTGGTTCTTCTGAACATCACTTCCTGGCTCCAGTGCAGATCCCTCAGCCTGCTAGCACAGGTCCTTCATCCTGCTGGCACAGACTTTGTAGATTCCACCACTGACCTTTGGGCCTTCCCTGTAGATCCGTGAAACAGGCCTGTATGAGACATTGTCATGGGCTCTGGGCCTCCAGTTGAATTTGTGGGAGCATTGTTATGAGCTCTACTTATTCAGCTGGACTCATGTAGGACACTGTTGCAGGATCCAGGCCCTCAGCTGGATTCCTTGGTCTTAGTGTGTGGACAGATTTCCTGCACTCTTTTGTATATCATTCTTTGGGTGACTACTACAAATAATCACATAAAGTATGTGTTCTGTATTATACTGTTCGCCTTACAAAAATAACCCCCAAACCAACACACCAACCCCGAAAGGGGAACAGAAGGGAGAATATTCCATTTGTAGGGAGATGATCAGTTCCTATGGGAATTGGATGATGTTTTGAAAAATGTAATGTTCCAAAAGCTATACAACAGTTAAAAGAAAGATGAGGAACTGAGCTGGTTCTTGTCTCTGGTTTTAGGGCCACTCTGTTCCTGGGGTCTGTTCACTGAGTTACTTAGCATGATCCCTTCCCTAGGGCGAAGCACAATTCTGCCCGCCTAACTACGCTGAGACAAATGTGTGGGAGGTATAACGTGCTTGTTTGGCTGTTCACTTACTATGTGGACAAGACCTTCCCATGTCATCATTTCCCACATTTTCTCTCTCTTCTTTTAAGCTTCTCCAAACCAACTCTCCAAAACTATTTCCAATTTTTTCAGACCTGAAACCCAGGAGCAGAGAATTCCTTGTTGCCCTTGGAGCTATTTTAAAGTTTAGCATGCAAACCATGTCCCTATTTTCAATATACTTTCCAACACTTCTGCTGACTGTAATCCATATGGATGGATTTTTTTTTACTTAGAAGAGAAAATACGCCTTTGGTGAGAACGCTGGTCTGGTCGATGCTTCTCCCGTGCACTTCCCCTGCACACAGCGCTAGACTCCAGCATGGGAAGGAGAGCGCCGGCTCCATATAAATGCAAAACGGTCCAGACACTCAGGGTTATCTGCGCTTTGCATGAACAACACAGCAGCTTGCAAGTGGGCAGGACTTGGCGGAGAGGCCCCATCACAAATCCACTGCCACCCCAGCGCGTGCGATGCAGGGCTGTGAAATCTGCCTTCGCTCACTAATTTCACACTCCAGGGGCCGAGCTGCGAACAGCTCCGTGCACATAATTCTCATTTTAATAACAGTTTCCTTAACCTTCAGACACCCTCTCGTGACATTTTTTCCACCTCTTAAAAAATTAAAATGCTCAATTCCTTTAAGGTGAAGTCACAGGTTTGCTTTCTTTAATCATTTCTTTACTGTCTTGACTTTGCAAATAGCAAGGCTTTTATTCTGCCTTTAGATGATTCGTGAAGCCTTCTCCAGCTGGGCTGCATTTTTTTAAAAAATCAAAATGAATCACTCACATATTCTGCATTCATTATTTCCTCTGTGCCGTTTTCTCAATAATGTCGGTACCTTCCATGCCTCTGTGATGAGCACAGAATGTATTTGAAATGCCTGCTAAGATATGCTTTTCATCTCCCTGCACATCGTAAAATGAGTTTTCCTCTCAGGGTTTCTGCAGACTGAGAAATGTTCTTCAGTTCCAGAATGAGCTTCAGGACACCAGGAGGGTCCTTTGAGACAGAGGAAAGAGTTAACTAAACCCATGATGTTGTCAGGCTGCCTGGCCTCACCTCAAAGAAAAAAATTTTGAGAATTCCGGTGCCTGGCTTTGTAAACCCTGAAAGGGTTTGGATTGGGAATTAGGACTTTATCATTCCTGTTGTCAGCTAACTCAGGCATTCCCTTCAGTGACTCAGACATAACATCTATTCAGATAATACAATATTGTGAATATCTGGTTCGGTTGCTTTTGGAAAATATCACAGGCTTTTTATGACACAAATTGTCTTGTTAGGGTTTTCTTTAATAAGCTGTGGTTTTCATCTAGTACTTTCAAAAGATGACATCAGCTTAGCAACCAGGAAATCAGAGACATTAGCTCGAAGTTTAACTCCAGGGAAAACAACGGATCCTGTCTTTATTTTAAAACTTGGTGTTTTGTTCTTCGTGGATATTTTACCATCAGTTTTCATTTTTACACTATTACACTAAAATAATATTTCTCTTGATTGCTAAGAGTCTTGGGACCTCCCTCCAAATTTTGTGCAAGGACAGAGCTTCACCAGGCTCCTCTTAGTCCCAGTGGAATGATGAACTTAGGGGGTCCCCAGCTGAGGACAGGAGCTTCCAGGCTCTCGACATTCCCCTCATCAAAGGGGGTGAGTTTGGATCTGCCCCAGCAGATTTGAGTCCGAAGCCGGCCATGTTCTCACTAAGAGAGCCTGGATACCACTAAATGTTGGAAGTAAGACACCAATGAGCTTCCACCACAATGTCACCAGCCTCCAACCACACGCCTGTCTTGTCCCCTTTCCGTCTCTTCTTGTTCTCTTTCAGGCCTATGATGGGGCCAGCTACACACTTTCAAACAAGTTCCACCTGAGGACGAAGATGTCAGCAAGTTCCTTATATGAAGGTCTCTCCAATGAAACTTCAATATGCCAGAATCCCAGTATCACTCTTGGGTGTGTGTTAAGGTTTCCGTGGGACTTGGGTAAATGGGAGGGCTTCCAGACAAGGACTTCCGGTCCAGTTGTGATCCTGGGCAGACTTTCCTCTGCTCTGAAATCCACTATTCCGTGCCTGCTGCATCTACATAGGAACCACCCGCCCCCCCAATTTTTCCCAAATGATTAATGCCCCAGGGATATTTGGGGCTGGTTATTACAGTGGCAAAATGTTCTCTTAATCACCTGTGACTGTTATCATGATTGTCAGCTTGACTGGATTAAAAAATGTCTAGATTAGTGAAGCACACTTCTGGGTGTTTCTGTGGGTGTCGCCAGAGATGATTGGCCTGCAGGCCAGCAATCTGAGGGGGGAAGATCTACTCTGATTGTGGGTGGCAGCCCAGATGGAATGAAAAGGGGGAAGTGAAGTCTGCCTGCATTTGGAAAGCTCCATTCTGCTGGAGCAGATGGGTCTTTTGCCGTTATGGTCGTCAGACTCTCCAGCTTCTTCAGCCTTTCAACATGGACTCGGACCTTGATTCCTCTTGTTCTGTGGCTTCCAGCTTCCTGGACTGAATACCTGCTGGATCCTCCAGCTTGCCAGCACACAGCCAGCCATTGCGGACAATCCAGGCTCTGACCCTATAAGCCTACCCAAAAAATCCAGCCAGCTCCAATAAATGAACACCAGCCAGCCCCACGGTCTTGCACACGTCCTTGAAGGCTGTGTAGGCAGAGCTGGAACACAGCTCATGTGAGCCTCCAAATAAAGCCTCATTTGGAACACAGGAGGGTAGGGAGCTTGTGGGAAGGGGCCCGGATCCCCGGCAGGCCATCATGGCACAGTGTCTGATATTAAGCAGCATTAGATGAGACTTACTTTCCTGGCATCCTCATCCCCCAGCCCAGCAGACTACAGAGCTGCTCAGCTGCCCTGTAGGATGGCTTCTCACAACAGGTGTCCCTCTTTCCCTGCATTCGCCTGGCTGCTTTACTAACATGTCACCCTGCGTAAGTCCCAGGGGCTTTGGCCCAGGCTACTTCTGCTTTCACCGTCTAGGCGAGTCAGAATGCATCTGAACTTCATTAGGGCCCATCGGACCTCAGCGCTGGGCCACGCGCTTGACATTATCGCTCTGTGGTGTGGAAAGCAGACAGTAAACGGAGGTGCCCTGTCTTTATCCATAATGGGAAGAACCTTCACTGCGAGCCCCCGGTCCTCCCAAGACCGTAAATCTTAGAAAAGTCATGTGGCAAAGGAAGCTCCCCACCCCACCCACAGATGGTTTGGGCTCCTGTCTTTTTTCTAAACTTGGCTTCTTGTCTCTCTTTTGATTCTCTGAGCTACCCAGCAACTGCGCATTGATCGCTCCTCTCTGTGTGGAGCCGGAGTCCAGCCCAGCTGCTCATAATGGCAAAGTCCTGACAGAAACGTGAGCCCCGCGGCTCCTTGGCCTCTTCCTGCTCCTGCAGTGTGGGATCCTGATCACTCGTCCTGTCTTTACTGTTGGGTCCTTTTCTCTATCCTACTCCCACCCCCCACTGTGGCTTGGACCTCATCTCTTTGTGCTGGTGATCGCAGTCCCTTGCTGAGCCTGACCGCAGTCCTTTCTGCCCTCCCATCCAGTTGCCGTAGGGACAGAGCCGGCCAGCAGGTGCCATCACGCTCCTCCTGCTCACGAGCCTGCCCCGCCCCTCCTGTCCACCCCAGTGTCCACACCACCCAACGGACACAAGGTGATGTGTGGAGCAACAGGGACAAACAATTGTTAAAAATCATGTGTTCATTTTAATGTATTCGGGGAAAAAACGCACACAGCCATCAACCCCATGTTTTCACAAATATTTAATGCCTGGGGTGAAGCTTTAGTCTGAGTAAAAAAAATGAAATCAGCTCAAACAAAATGTCAAGTAATTAAGGTACAAATGGCATGCAAATGGGGCAACTGATATGTACCAGTTATCTGTTACAGTTGAAACCTATTCCAAAAACTTAGTGGCTTAAAAAACATACATTTAAGCTGGACATGGTGGTACATGCATGTGATCCCAGCACTCTGGGAAGCTGATAGAGAAAATTTCCAAGTTCAAGCCCAGCCCAGGCAACTGTTCTAGTTTGTGACTAGACATCCCCCTCAAAGCC